CAGCCTTAATGTGCACTGAGTGCGCACCAGTGCAACCAGTGAAATACGCTATAGATGTCGATGACCAAACCCCAACATGTACTATAGATGCTGGGTCTATCTTATATGTCTATGGTACGACCAAATAGAGAAACTCATAAGTTATAGACTCATAAGTTATAGAGATTATTTTAAAATAACAAGTAATATAATTAATTTAATGTTTCAGATTGGTAGGCGTTGTTGCGGGTTATCCCGGTCATTTTGTTGCTTATTGTAAAAGACTTTCAGGATTATGGGAGCAATATAATGATTTAAACAGTACAGTAAAATCTTGTACACAAAATGAGACAATCAATCTCATTGCTGCAATTTATATACTTTATGAAGATTAAATATGGTATGTATACAAATAATGTGTCTAATATAAAAATATCCTTTTAAGAATAAAATAAATTTGTAAAAGAATAATAAAATTTAAAATACGAAAAATCGTAAAAGAATAATAAAATTTAAAATACGAAACATGGATAATATAAATTAGTGTAAATATATAGCAAATGTAGCTGCAATGTTATCTGAGATTATGTTTAAAAAGTTACATGATAAAAATAGCGTAATTTATTTATATCTGCATGTTTTAATGTATAAAACATCATGTTGCAGTTACAAAATCTTTTATTTATATTATGTATTTTTTTTCTTTGCAGAAACAACAATCGGAGCCTTCTCGATTTTAACAACAAAGCGGCTACTTAATACATTATACATCTTATTTTATCATATTTTATCTCGATAGTTATGTATTTTTGTGAAACCTTTACTTAGATGTTGATAATGAAACAGAGGTTTCTTGAATTTTATGAATCAATTTGAAAGAACTTGTTCTTTTTTCTTTGAAATGTTGCTGTATTTTATTATAATTTCAAACCTAACGCAATACTTTTTATAATAAATATTTTTATAATAAATTTAATATCTCAGAAGATATAAAATCGATTGGATAATACATATATAGAATTACTTTTAGAAAAAGTTAAGCTACAGTAAAGTTATTATGTTCTTATAACATATTTTTAGTGATGCTATCTCTGATGAAATATATATTCTTGCTACTCATTTGCATATTTTTTGTGTAACATATGAATAATATATTTATTTGTGTTATATATTTAAAATAATCTGTGTTGTGGATTAAAAAATAAATATGAATTGACTAATTGTAAGTAAAAAATATATTCATTAACCTCGAATATCGTAAACATAAACATTCTTTTAAACAAATATAAAATACGATGTATAAAGAGAGAACTTAGATGAGAAACAAAGGATATACTAATTAGCACATTTAATAGTACTTTGTAGTACAAAATTATATTTCGCAATTAATAACTAAAGAAGTATAGTTAAATGTCACTGATTACAGTGCAGTATAGTTAAATGTCACTGATTACATTGCATTTTATCGTTATTCTAATTGTCGTAAGCATTTTTTTTAATATTAATATTTCAATAAGATTGAGTTACAATAGATCTTGTTCATGTATAGTTAATTTTGACAATCAACAAAAAAATAAAGAAAAGGAACACCGTTTTGTTTCACGAAATTAGTCTTACCGATATTGTATGGACTAAAAATAGTATCACAATATGTATGTGTTAAATTTGGTACTAATTATACTAAACATAATGTAACCTAAGTCCTAACATCATTAATTAATCATGTTACATCCTACGATAGCCGCGTCTACCACCTCTATTGCCTCTTCCATATGGATCTTCTTGTTCTTTTTTCTTTTTCCATGCATCATATCTTTCAGCCATTTTATATACTTCCTCAGGTACTTCCTGAACTAAAAAGTACAAATTGGTGGACTCTACTACACAAAATCGGTAAGAATTAAAATATTCCTTGTATATCTATTAACCTGATTAGCTTCTTCAAGAATATCAATGAGTGCTTTAGCATGATGCCAGTCCTGTCTTGTTATAATAGTGATACTTTCACCTGTTCGACCTGCGCGTCCAGTACGACCGACTCGGTAAACGTATTACTCTATATTCCGTGGGAAGTCATAATTCAGTACGTGTCTAAAATGAGGACAAAAATATATTGATGTCATGTCTTGAATAATGTAATGTATTAGTATGTAAAACTTACGTAATATCTTCAATATCGATTCCTCGACTAGCCACGTCGGTTTCGAGAAGGATCTGAATGGCTCCAGTCTTCAGAACTTCTAATGCTTGTTCTCTATCTGATTGATCTCTATTGCCGTGAATACTCTGACAATCGATATTCGTTAAAGCCAGATCACTAGAAATATCGTCCACTTTTGATTTCTTAACGAAAAATACTATAACTTTATCGTGAGAGCTCATTTCTTGGAAGAACTGATGCATCTACAATACATTAACAATAATAATGAACTAATATGACATTTTCAAAATAATTTGTAGTCAATTTTATATAGGCTGTGGACAAAGTCTCGCTACAAATGCTTTAAAGCATTTGGTGGACTGATCAGAAGAAAGAATTTTACAAGTTGACTAATCAAAAAACGCTTTAAAGCATTTGTAGCATTACACTGACCATACCCATAAACATATATGATATTACTAACCATATCTGTTTTCTCGTCTTCATTAGCCATGTAAATCCTCTGTGTTACAGAATGAACAGCTGCTAAGTCAAGTGATCCAACAAATACTTGAATCGGATTTTTCATGTATGACTGGGCTAAGCGGTGTAAGCGTCTTATACCCTGGGGCCACGTAGCACTGAAAAGGATAAGTATTATATTAGATCATATTTATTAATTATAATATAATATTGATATTATACATGAATTTTTAGATAAACTATATATTCTGAATTATTCTAGAGAGAGGTAATACAAATTACTTATTTAAAGAAGTAATATATCTAATAAATTTTACAAATAGAAATAAAGAAAATATATATTCTAAAAGGACAAAAAATTATGATTAAATTTTTTTCTCTTTTCCTTAAAAAAATCCCATTTTTAAAAGAGGTAAGAATTTTTTAAAAACATGACTTATATACCTTGTCATAACAGTTTGTCTATTTGGTCGTACACCTAGAAGAACTCTTACGAATTTGAGGTTCGAAACCCATGTCCACCATACGATCTGCTTCATCGAGTATAAGATACGTCACAGCCGACACATCCAATACATTTGCTTGGAACCAAATCGTTTAATATTCCGGAGTTGCAATTACAATTTGCACACCTTTTGTCACAGTTGTCTATTTGGGTAATTATACAGTTTAGCCGCTCACCTCAAAAATCGATGAACATAGGCTCATTCGACGCGTTTTTGCTTAAAACGAAAGAATCTGGCAGAAATAAGCGTCGCTCTGCCCCGCGAACCGAGTTATTATTAAGCGTTAAAGTTGACGATTTCAGGTTAGGAAATCTGTCATACCGACGTTACGTTGCGACTGAAATATGCTCTGTAGCAGCGTTGCCAACCTCCACATTATTAAAAATCGTACCAACAATACAAAATTATCGTATTTTGATTAAAATTATCGTACATTTTTTTTGTTAGATATACATATTTATTAGGTCTGTTCGCGTTGCTTGCACTTTTTGCATTCAGCATCTTCGCTTTCTCTTTTTTTAACGCCCAAATATATATCTATCTCATTTTAAGTATAAAAATTTTTGGGTTTCAAGCAACGCAAACAGATCTATATTGAATAGATATATTTTTTAATGAAAAAAAAATAA